GGCTGTCCCTCAGGTGGCCACCTGCCTATCTGCCATCGCTGTTCAGGCATCTTTATTTTGGGTGGAGCGTTGTGTGGGGAGCTCGGCTTGGGGTGGTGTGCTTCTGCCAAGCAGCTTGCCCTGTTCAGATCCGCGGCTCCTGTGCCTGAGGCAGAAGCTGGGTGTTTTAGGGGCTGGGGGGGACAAAAAAAATGCAGCAGCTGCCCTGCCTGCTGCAGGCCAGGGGGAATGAATGCCCCAAGTTGAGAGAGTGTCCCCGGACAAGCTTAGTCTTGGCTATAATGAAGCCCAACAGCAGCCCAGCTCTAAGAGGAGGACTGGCGTTGTGTTATGTGTGCAGCAGGGAACAAGTGTAATAATCCAAACCCAGAATGTGTGTACAGGAATGAAATGAGGCAGAGCGTGAAAACCTAGGTACTGACCTAGAATCTGTTACTGCAAGTGCTCTGTATCAGTCCCAACAGTGTAATAAGCCAGCTTATTACATGGCAACCCCACCTTATTTACAGCTACTCCCTGTTAACAGCTTACAGTACTGCTGGTTTTAGAAAGACAAGTGTTTGCTCCGAGGCTGAGCTTGGTTTGGACATCCCTGCTTGCAATCAGAAGAGATGTGGGTGTACGGTAACTATCTCTGAGAGTAAAATAAATTCTTCAAGTGATTTTCTCTTCCTGTGACTTCCATCATAGTCGAGATCCATCAAGTGCTGCTTCCACTGGTCTTTCTGCTGAGGTGCTCAGGTTCCTTCATTACCTTTTCCCTGCGTGAGCTTGTTGGCCTACAGATTTATTCTCCCATTTCCCAAAATAAGCCCTTACAGGACTGGGTGGAATTTATGAAGTTAGCCTCTAACTTAGCCAGCTGGCCTTTGCTTAGGTTTGCCTATAGTTAAAGGAAAGAGAGAGGTTCCATCAAACATGAAGTGGAAGCACCTTAGGGTTTAGCTTTTTCAAACTTCATCTGGTGGGGTCACTCTTGCTTCACTGAATGCAAGCAATGAGCAGGCTAACTCAGATTAGTACCTAAAGTTAGCAGTTAGAAGCACTTTCTTAGAGACCAGATCTGGTACCTAAACACTGTTTAGAAACCAAATACTTGATTCCATCCTCTTCCCTCAATGAAGTAAACCAATGTGGACTGAAATACAGGTGTACTGATCAGTGCTACTAGCCAGTCTTGCTGTGGAGGGAGTAGAGTCATTTTGCCAGTGGGTTTTCTTCAGGAGATTTATAGCTTTTTCAGAACTAAGAGCACATGAACCTTTATAATTTGTCAGAAAGTTTACTTTTACCATTTCCTTCTCCCAGTCCAATTACCTCAATTTTTCCTCTGTGGCATGAAAACCAGAGCTGAACACCTACGTGTGATATGGTGGGAAGGGCAGCATGGTCTGCATCCTCCTGAAGCTAACAGTGGCTTGGAGGGCTGCAAGCTGCCCTTGGGGCCATCTTCTTTCAGTCTTGCCACAGGGAATGCAAACACTGCTATGCTGAGTTATCTACCTGGTTCTGTGTTGGAGGTTGCTGCTCCTGCCGCAGAGTCAGCAGAGGGAAGTCAGACATGTACCTTGGCTGCTCCATCCTGTAGTATATTTGAATTTAACGTAAAGAAGAGTCTGCACAAGGATGCCAAAGTCGAAACTAGACTGTCTACAGTGTGGGCATGGTAGCAATTCCAGCAGAGATGCATCACAAAACTCAGGACAGTGATATCTTAAAACACTGAAGCTGGACATGGGTCAAAGCCCTGGCATATGCTGTGTCAAACCATTCTTTAAACCATCTGTTTTGTCCTAATCTAAAACTGGTTGGAAGTGCAGAGTTGCCCAAGGTCTTTTAAAGTTCCAAAGGAGCTTAAAACAAGCCATCTTGACTAGCAGCTAATATTACTTCCTGAGCTACCATTCTAGTTGTCTGTGCATATCCCATAGATAATACTTGTTTTTGCTAACTGGGTGCCAAACACCATGCAAGGCTATGGCTAATGTTAAAAATCTGAAGTTAATCACATAGTTGAACAGCCACAGGAAAATGTGTGCAAGTCCTGCAATAAAGCCTTTTGGCTATTTTATTTTATTCTACAAATAAAGACAACTGTCCATCATTAATGAAAAAAAAAATAGTTTGAGTTGTATATAGCATGAAACAGTAGTTCCCTTCACAAAAACATTTCTAATTCATTAGTTTATTACAAAATATCCACTCACAAAAAAGCACAAGCACAACCTTTATACTTGTGAAATGAGTTGATATTTCATATACAAAATAATTTCCACATAATTCCATATAATTTTATTTTATATAGAAATAGGTCATTATTACAACAGCTGTACAATACACTACTTTTTATTTAATAATTACATAAAATCTTTCTTAGAAACATATCAACAGAAAACATACAAAAAAAGCGAAAAGTGCATTTCTTTTTTTTTTTTCCCCAAAGGAAAATTCAATCCTAAATGTTATAATGAAAGAGATATGTAATAGTCTGCAGCATCCCGAGTCAGTGGGCCAAAACACAGTGCATATTTCTCAGAGACTTGCAGTGGGTAAGTTTAGGTTGAAGAAGGATCCGTGCTGTACTATCAGAGAGTTGCATGATTGTGTTCACAATATGAGTTTTCCTTTGCAATCACAATTCAGATAGAAAACAGTCCAGTGTGGGTTGTGGGGTGTTTTGTTTGTTTGTTTTTCAGTAATGAAGAACAGTTAGGGTAAGCTGCATAATAGTCCTCAGGTTCTAAAACAAGGGTTATGAGCTGTAGACCATCTTCACCAATGATGGGGCTTTCTCCTCCATTGGATGTGCTAATTTGGCCACAAGAATAAGGAAACAAACTTCTCTTTACAGAAAGTGCCTAGGTTTTGTCCTCTGTGCAGTTGTGCAAAATAATAACAATAATCATAATAAAAATAATCTCTTGTTCTCTCCTCAATAGACCTTTGACGCAGTGCTTTTCATACTCAAAAGAAGAAATGAAACAGTGAAGGCCAAGTACCTCATGAGTCTGTCGACAGTCTTTTGGAATTGCCAGATAGCTTTCGGAGCGACACGCCAAGACTGAACGCCTCCTCCCATGCACCCATGAATGATGGAGGCTGCACAGGATAGTGTTCCTTTTTTATTTTGCTCTCTCAGTACATACTGTGCTCACGAGACAGCACAAACTGAATCCAGCATGCCGCAAATGCATTGTCCGTGGCAGTCTGCGCTCTGTGACGTACTTCTGTCATAGAGCTTTGAAAGAAATGCTTGTGCAAAAGAAGTACAAAGTCATTCTCTTCTGCCCCATGTGCCCATTGGTTAAAGCTAATCGTGCATTGATCGTGCTGGTGGGACTCTATCGCAGTGGCTGTGGTAAATTTGATGAGTCTGGTAAGCTATTGCTTCTTCTTGATGTTAGTTGTTGCTGCTGCTGTTGCTGCTGCTGTGTCTGGTGATACCCCATATTTCCTTGCTGTGGCGAGTAAGGTGGCAGGAGCAAAGAATCAGGTTGCTCACTGTGCAAAGAACATGGTGTTTGCACCTACAGATAAAATAAAATTCATCGTGGTGTTCGATTCTTTCACACGTTAAAGCTCTTCGTCCTCAATGTACAGGGCGCTTCAAAATACTACTAGTTTGCTGGCTTTTATTTCTGGGGCTGTTTCATGTGGGGCTAGCTTACCTAATGCTAGAAGGAACGGACATAAATAGCAACAAAGAACATTACAATCAGGCACTGAGAAAGGTTTCTAATAGGAGTGCACTGCCTAGGATTTGCAGGTTATCCTGAAAAGCCTGTTTAGGAACAGGGTGGGCGAACGTGTCAGAAGTGACACAGATGGATGATAGAAATGAAACAGAAACAAAACAGAGGATCCCAGTGTACCTCATGCTGTCCCTTCTAGCCCTTCCTTTTTGTGAGTTTACAGTAGGATGTGAGCTTGCAGATGTGAAGTCAATGTGAATTTTGCAGATGCTTTTATTGGAAATGGCATCTCCCATAGTTTTTTCACTAATTCTCAACTATGATAAAGATTTCATTTCAATAACAAGAGTTTAATCATTTGAGGTTGATGATACTCTTTCAATGATGTGAGTGGATATGTGATCAGGTTTTACAGACTCAGTTCAGCTCCTTTGAATTAATAGAGACACCTCATTTCCCCCTTCCCCTTTACAATGTGTTGAATTAGGTCAAAAAATAAGTATGTTTACATCTTCAAATCACCTGGTTCTTCCAGGCAGTGTGCTCCAGCTTATCTTCTTTGCCTTGTGGAGTTGAGATGTTTAAATATATTAATTTACTGCAGGAATCCAGATACCTGATCCAGATCTCATTATGTGTCAGTGCTGGTAATTAAAAATCATCTTTTGACTTGTAAACTAAGCAAATTTTATACCAAATAAAGAGTACAGAATAAATCCTAAGACGGAAATTTTCTCCATCTAGAAATACACTTTAAATATATCCAGGATAATCTGATTATGTTTCCAATGTACAGAATCAGTAATTTTGCTTTTAAATAATCTGACTGTTCTCACTGCTCCCTTGCTATACTGGAAGGGTACATGGCACTGTATTAGTGTCTTGCATGTTTCAGTATCTCTAATTTCAGGCTCCCACTGAAACCTAAGGCCCTGTTTGGGGCCTTCTTTGTCCTACCCTACCTGCAGGTAGCGTTGTTGCTGATGCTGTTGGTGCTGGAGTTGCATAGGTGGCAGAGAGGATGGCTGGGAAGAAGGTGTAGTGGCAAACCCTTGGTTTAACACTGCTTGTCCCATCAGTACAATTGGAGAGCTGCTGCTGGAAGTCTGCACTTCCAGACTTTGAAAGATTTGTTGGGTTTGGGAATACCTGTGGAAGAAAGAAGCGAAACAATCAAGGACAAACTCTTGAAAGCAGAGGTCTCCTCTTAGGGTAGGGATGGAAGTCCCTAGTCTTCGTAAGTAATTCCTAATAAAGGATTCCAGTTCATGGGACCCACTCATATGAGTGATGGCACCGTTGGCAGCACTGTTTTTCCCTCAATCTGTGCATGAGCTGGACTTGGAGGGCACAATGCATTTCACCTCCAAATCCAGACCACAGTTTAGATTCATTAAAGACTCTGGTTTATGCAAGTCTTCTCTTCAGCCACAGCACTCACATTGCAGGTTCATTAAGCCAAATGACCTTTGGTTCTGTATTAATATGCTGAGCTCTGAACTGCAGTGAGAGAGAAGTATATACACTTCCCATTCTGCTGCCTGTGCTCCCCTACGACTGACCATGGGGAGGGTCACACTGTAGGAACTGAAGAAGCCTCTAGAAGTCCTCTGGGGTAAGGGATGGGACAGAAACAAATTACTTGGCTCCTCTTGCCAGCCTGCTTTTGCATAGCAGAACTTAAAATATGTGTTGTTTTGTGGAAGGCTGTGGGCAGAACCACAGTGGAGCTATTGCCAACCCAGCCTCATTCTGTTTGTCCTCTAATGGGTGATGAGATCATAGTGTGGCGTGTGTTCACTCAACAGCTGTTCAACATTAGGAGTTAGTCAGAAATGCTGCAGTTTGGGTTCTCATACTAGGATGTGAGCTCCTAAAAAAGGGTCCTGTGAGTCACAAAGTCTGTGTGAACTGGGAGATGTGTCTTTGCAAATCAGGCCTTTTTTATTGAGATGCTTAAAAGCAGATCTAAACCGCTGTGTATTTAAGGCTGACAAATGTAACTCAAGATACTCTTAAAAGGCAATAGTGATGTTTAAAAAAAGAAGTATTGAATAGCTACTTTCCTGAGGTAACATACAGAATTACTTTTAAAGTAATGCTGTGTGAACAGTTGCCTATTATTTTAGCAGTTCATGATTAAGTACAGTGACAAAAACCAGCTAAATAAAAAATATGCTTATTCCAGTCAATGTTTCCTGCTTCCTTCATCCGACTCTTGAGGAGACAAACAACTGAGGTGGTTTGTTCAGCAGCTTTTCCAAGTGAGCTCAGGTGCAGTGGCCTACTGATTCTTTCTGCTGGTGTAGGTTAGGCATAGCTCCACTGGCCTTACAGCAGTGCCTCACTGCCCAGACAGCAGGGGTGTTCTCAGTGCCTGTCGTTTCAACCAGGCCAAGGCTGACTTTCTTTCTCACATTTACCTTGGTGGGTGAGAAGCTCCAGCACTGAAGCAAGCATCATGTGAGGGGTAGAAAAATTTAACCTGATTGAATTTGGAGCAAAGAGACCGAACGGTTTCCCTTAACTGGAGAAATAGCTAAACCTAGGACAGGGGCTTTGAAGCAACCTGGTCGAGTGGAAGGTGTCCCTGTCCATGGCAGCGGGTTGGAACTAGATGATCTTTAAGGTTCCTTCCAACCCAAACCATTCTATGACGAAGATTTGATGAAAAATTCCCCCCACCTTGGCTTGTTAGAATGCCACTGGCATGCTGTGTTCCTCTCTGCGATCCCTCCTGATGTGACCAGGCAGGGTAAGGCTGACCCTGACATTGGGAGGCAGGTTCAGCACAGTAACATTTAGTTATTTAACTAAAGAATGCTTATTGCCGCTCAAAAGCAACTTTGATGTTCTATCTTTGACAAGTCACATACTTAGCCTGGGATCCCGCCATGCTGAGGTCTGAAGGGTGTCTTGCGTTACAGGACCCAGGCATCATGGGCTGAATGGGCTGGCTAAGCAACAGTCTGGTGCGTGGAAAAAAGAAAAAGCAACGTTGCTGTAATAGAAGAACCACATGAATCCCACATTTTGAAGAGAGAAGAAGGGCGCTTACATAGGCACGACACAGGGCTAAGCATGAGGAGGTCTAACCTAAGCTCCTGGCTGTGCTGGGCACATCCTGAGCCCTACAAACTGGGGACAGGGGCAGCACATGCCCTCCATGGTGATGTGGGTGCCTCGCTATAAGGCTGAGTGCTAGGATTTTAGAAGAGTGGGATTTCTTTTGCTCCTGTTGGTGGGAATGGCTTGCGTTTTGAGCTTTCTGAGTATCATCATGTAATTTTTTGGGTTCCCATGTCTAGTTGGATGCTGAGGTGGATCCCCCCCACCCATCCACGGGAGCCTGAGACAGCAAAGGGAAAGCGGAGACATCCACCACCCTGGGGCTGGGAGGCCGGAGGAAGCGCGGCCGAATCCAGCCCAGGTGCAGCAGGGCTCCCCGTGCGCAGCGGCCGGGGCCGGGCAGGGTCGTGCCGTACCTGAGCTGCTG